GCGGCGGGTAAAAGGCAAGGGGCTGGGTCTGTTTGTGTCTGCCCACCTCTGCGCACGCAAAGGGGGGACCGAAAGCGGAAAAGGGCGAATCTCTGAGCAGGTGTTGGCACCGGGACCGGCTGCGTGTTTTCTACGTGAGCAGCGCACGCAGCGCACGCAGCGCAGGCGGGAGAGTGCAGATCCCCAGAGCTGGTGCGCGGGGCGGTTTGGTCAAAAAGGTAAACACGCGGCGGGAGGGGCGGGCGAGGCGCGGGCGGCACTGTGAAAGAAAGAAAGATTGGAGTCACTCAAACGCCTTTCAAAGCAGGCCTGGATCGACATCAGACCGCGTCGCTTTGCAAAAGACACAACACCATGCATGGACGCTCCTTTTATTGTGCAGCAAACAGAAGCGGAGAGGAAAAGAGGGTGCGCTGACAAAAACAACAACAAAGACGTGTCCCAGCGGGACCATATAAGAGCAAGGCCGTTCGCCCTGGCGGCGCCGGAGGACGCTTGGCTTCCAATATCCATACCTCTTTCCCCTCGCTTTCCCTCGCTTCTCCCCCCTCCCTCCTAGCACCCTATCCCCCTTCTTCACAATGCAGTTCGCCAAGGCCCTTGCTTTCTCCGCCCTCGCCGCCGCCGTCTTCGCCCAGGGCAACATCGATGACACCCCCGTGAACATCGTCAACTCGGGCGCTGCCTCCTCGGACGCCGCCTCCTCGGACGCTGCCTCCTCTACCGCTGTCTCGAGCGCTGCCTCCAGCGCTGCCTCCAGCGCCGCCTCGGAGTCCGCCGAGTCCGCCGAGTCCTCGGCCTCTGCTGCCGAGACCGAGGAGGCCGAGTCCAGCTCTGCCGCCAACGGCGAGGTCGGCGGTGCCCTGGTCATCACCAACTCCAACGGCGTCAAGTCCACCGTCCCCGTCCCCTCGGCTGCCCAGTCGGCCTCCGGCTCCGCCAAGCCCTCGGGCAGCGGCAAGCCCTCGGGCGCCTCCGTTGAGGAGGGCTCCCTTGCTGACGACGACGAGGCCGAGTCGGGCGAGGACAGCGAGTCGGACTCGGGCTCGGACAGCTCCAGCGGTGCCGCCAAGACCGCCGTCTCGGTCGCCGCCGCCGTTCTGGCCGTCGCCGCCTTCTTCTAAGAAGCTCTAGCGTTTATTCCGTCTTTTCTTACAAATAAAACATGAACCACTCCCCCTCGTAGAAAACATCCAGAAAGCATGCAGGAATTGTGTTTATTGAACCAGCAGTGTAGAAAAAGGCTAGTGCGCCGCTGCGCAGGCGGGCTGACATCAGACAGGTGCTTACCGCGCGTCCACGAACCGGTACCGGTACCGGGGCAGGGCTGCCCGACGCTCCTCCTACAAGATGGTGTCAAAGAGACGCAGCAAGGCTGGGGGTGTGCATTAGCTAAGCAGTCCGGATCAGTGCGCTGGCAGAACAATGCATGGTCGCTCCCTTGTGTGGGGGCGGAAGCGATCGCGTGGCTTACCATTGAGAGCGTTGTGTCGCTGTACACCAGCCGCGTGGAGCGCGACTTGGACGACGGCTTATCTACAGAGGCAGACGCAGGAGTTGTGGGTGCTGCAGGCAGGGCTGTGTGTTCGGGCACAAGGCTTGGCTTACCAGTCATGGAAGGCACAGGGGGCACCGGAGGCACCGGGGGCACCGGGGGCACCGGGGGCCTTGGGGGCACAGGAGCCATCGAGGGCGCTTGGGGCGCTGCCATCATCGCCATGGGCGGCGGGACCGGCGGCCGGAACCCCATCATCCCCGGCGGAGGCGGAGGCAGCGGCGGCCGCATGCCAGCAAAGTGCGGCGGCGGCGGCATGCCAAAGTGTGGCGGCGGAATCGGTGGCATCGGTGGCATCGGTGGCGGCGGCAGACTACCCACGCCATAGCCGCCACCACCCACACCCACGCCGTACGCAGGGTCCACGGCCATCGGCGGTACTGGCGGAGGCCCCAGCGGCATCTGCTGCTGCTGCATGGCCAGGCGGTGCTGCTCGAGCTGCTGCCTGAGCTGGTCCGCGTCCACCGCCGCGCTGCCTGCAGAGAACCCTGCCGAATCGACCGCCGCGCCTGCGTTCTGGTGCACCCTCGGGCGCTTGGCTGCAGGCTCACCCAGTCGCTCGCCCATGCGGCGCTCGTAGTCGGCCACGTCCTCGGGCGGGATGCCCATGCTGCCAAAGATCTCCAAGTCGGTCCTGTCGCGTCCGCGGATGGCATTGGGCACGTGCGTGATGTTTTCCTTGTGCACCTGCGCGACGTGGATCACCATGCCGTTGGCTGTGTTCAGCCGCTTGGCGCAAATGTGGCATTTAAAGTGCTTGGCCTTTTGGTGCTGCACAAGGACCTTCTCGTCCTCAAAGTCGCGCTCGCAGTACCAGCACCAGGGCTTGACCACCATCTTTTTGCTCTTTTTGCGCGCCATCGAACCGCCTGCAACTGCAATGTGCTTGAATGCCCAGCGCGTGCAATCTTTGCGAGGAAATCTAAAAAGGCGAAGCAGCGCCCAATAACAAATAAAAAAGCTAAAATAGCCGGGAAAAGCAGAAAAATAATAATGCGGAATCAAGCTGTAAAAACACCCACCGCCCTTGCCCCAGCTCTGCGCTTGGCCTGCTGGATTGCGCGCTGCAAATCGCAAAGCTCGGCCATTCCGACGCGCATGTATTGCTGCCCCCCGATTTGCGCTGTCCGCCAGCGCGGCTCGGAGAGCAGACAAACAAAGCACACCACGCAACACCACGCCGCCACCGCGCATTTAAAGCCTTGCGCCCTGGCCCGCGCGCTGTGCCTGTCTGCCGCCTTTATCCCCTGCTGCCTTTTCCTCCTCGCTTGCTTCATCTCGACCCAATTTCAACGGCAATTTCCTCGCAAAATGGACTCTTTCCTTTCTCTCCGGCTGTTCTGGGTCAGGAACCCCTACACCGTGATGCTCCCAACCGTGCTCCTGTGTTGCTACCTCATGCAGAAGCTGATCTATAGACTCGTTACGGGCTCTCGCACGCTGAAGGCCGTGCCCTACGAGCTGCCGCCGCCTGTCGAGAGCCTCCCCGGCTGGAAGGACGGCGAGTTGCTGGACAAGCCCAGCATCCTGGTCGAAGGCCGCACCGACCTGATCCAGTGCTTCGACCCCGCCACCGGCCGCTCGCTGGGCCGCGTGTCCGCCACCACCCCGGCACAGCTCGCCGAAAAGATTGCTGCCGCGCGCTCTGCGCAGTCCGTCTGGGCGCGCACGTCCTTTGAGCAGCGCAGGCAGGTGATGCGCACGCTGCTGGAGTTTGTGCTGGCGCACCAACGCGAGATCTGCCAGGTGGCATGCCGCGACTCGGGCAAGACTCTCATTGATGCCACCCTGGGCGAGATCCTGACGACGGCTGCCAAGCTGCAATGGACCATCAAGAACGGCGAAAAGGTTCTGGCCGACGACGAGCGCGATCCAGGTTTTATGATGGCCTACAAGCGCGCCCGCGTCGTGTACCAGCCACGCGGCGTTGTCGCTGCCCTGGTGTCCTGGAACTACCCGTTCCACAACACCATTGGGCCAGTCATCTCGGCTCTGTTCTCGGGTAACGCCATTGTGGTCAAGGCCAGCGAGCATGTCGCCTGGAGCATGCCGTACTGGGAGCAGCTGGTGCGTCGCGCCCTGGTGGTCTGCGGCCACAGCGGCGACCTCGTGCACTTTGTCACCGGCTTTGGCGATCTCGGCGGCGCACTGACTGCCTCGCCTGACATTGACCACATCACCTTTATTGGCTCGCCCGAGGTCGGCCGCCTGGTGATGCGCTCGGCCAGCGCCAACCTGACCCCCGTCACCCTAGAGCTTGGCGGCAAGGACTGCGCCATCGTGTTTGCAGATGCCGACATGTCCCAGTGCATCCCTGTTCTGATGCGCGGCGTCGTCCAGAACGCCTCGCAGAACTGCATCGGTATCGAGCGCATCCTGGTCCAGGCCGGCGCCTACGACGCCTTTGTTGACCAGATGGCACGCCGTATCAAGGCCGTGCGCCTGGGTGCCGTCCTAGACGACCCCAAGGGCGAGGTCGACTGCGGCGCCATGATCCTGGCCTCCGACTTTGACCGCCTGCAGGCCCTGATCGACGATGCTCTGGCCAAGGGCGCCCGTCTTCTTGCTGGCGGTCGTCCCTTCCAGCACCCGCGCCATCCCAAGGGCCAGTACTTTGAGCCCACCCTCCTCGTCGACGTCACTCCCGAAATGGACATTACTCGCCGCGAGACCTTTGGCCCCATCATGGTCGTTATGAAGTTTACAGACGAACAGGACGCCCTGAACAAGGTCCACTCGTCCCCATATGGTCTTGGCTCGAGTGTGTTCTCTGGTGACCGCACCCGTGGCCGTCGTGTAGCTCTTGCTCTGCGTGCCGGCATGACCAATGTCAACGACTTTGGTGTCAACTACATCTGCCAGTCCCTGCCCTTTGGCGGCGTTGGAATCAGCGGATTCGGCCGCTTTGCGGGTCCAGAGGGTCTCCGTGCCCTTTGCGTTGAAAAGGCATTTACCGAAGACAAGTTCCCGCTTATCAAAACACCCATCCCACCCATTGTTGACTATCCCATTCAGGATACTGAAAAGGGATATCAGTTTACTCAGCAAATCGTTGCCTTTGCCTACAGCGACTCTTGGTGGGCCTCTATCAAAGCTGGTCTTCGTCTGGGCAAGCTTTCTATGTAGAACAAATTTACCCTTTGCTTTCTCTCTATTGCTACTTTTTTTTGCCCGTAATTCATCCAGTCGGAAAATAAATGAAAAGCAATTTATTTTCGCAAAACACCGTACCCAGAGTCGAAAGTTTGAATAATGCTAACTACAGCAAACGTTTCATATTATAAATAATTTCAGCTTCACGTATTCTCATATACATGACACATACCGTTTATCATGCTGGTGTCAAATCCGCGTATACGCATGTCATTTGATTATTACAATGGCTCTGCTTGTGTCTTGACAGTATGTTTTTTCAATTTTTCAGAAATTTAATCTTAGCTTCTATGGCAACATGGCCGAGTGGTTATGGCGGCAGACTCAAGTTCTGCTGGACGAAGTCCGCGTGGGTTCGAACCCCACTGTTGTCACTTTTCGATTTTTTGGCGCATCGTATTCTAATGCGAGCAAACTTTTTTACACATTTTTGCTACTTTTGTTTTACATCTTTTCAAATTTATTACTTTATATCACTTGGTGTAGAATACCAATTTTTATTTGCATAGCTATTGTTTCGCTATATGTTTGCTTCAGTCATTTTACACGTTGTTTTAATGTAGTCAATTTCTACCATATATTGCTGATATATAATTCATATATGAAATCAAAAAATAAAATAAAATAAAAGCTACCTGAACATTAGCCAAGCAGTATCACTAACCCAACCTCTAGTTCACTTGGGTGGCATAGTCAGGTGGGTTAGCATCATAAGCCTTACCCTTGCCAATAAAGCTATTGGCTCTGCTAGCATTATCATACCTGTGGCTCTCACCCAACCTGTTGTTACTAAAATAGTCATCATTATTCCTTGACACACTGCTCATGACACTACCTCTGTACATGCTTCTACCAGCATAGCTGCCCCTATAGTTGCCCTGGCCACTATAGCTGTTTCTATAGTCACCTTGGCCACCATAGCTATTCCTATAGTCACTCTGGCCACCATAGCTTTGTCTTTGACCACTAAACAACCAGTTGCGAGCACGTGAAACACCATTCTCACCCTTCTTGTTCTTCCTATAAAGGAAGAAGTAAGCCAAGAGTGCAAGGAGCAAAAGAGCACCAACAATAGCACCAATAGCACCAGCAGACAACTTGGATTTCTTCTCAGTCTCTGGCTCATCAATAGAATCCAAACCAACACCCATTGCTGAAGCTGTAGGCATAGAGTACAGGCTACTAATATCACCATTATATGACTTTCCAGGTTCAACAGTGACAACAACAACACTAGGAACAGTCTGAGTGACAGTGACAGTCTGGGTAGCTGTGCTGCCATCATTATCATTGACACTGGGGATAGCCGTAACAGTGTAAATGCTGGTAATAAGAGAAGTAGTTGTTGCAGTGACAGTCATTGTTTCAGCTGCAGCAGGCACAACTGTTGTAATAGGAGCACCAACAGCCTGAGTCTGTCCTTCAACAACTGAGGCAGATAGAATCACAGATGCAGTGACAGTCATTACAGAAACAGATACTATAGGTGAAACCTCAGTAACTGTTGTAGTGGACACACTTGTAACAGTAACAGTCTTCTCACTACCACCATTAATGTTAATACCAATGTTATTGCCCATTCCAGTACCTTGAGCACCACCAGCAGCTTCATTAATAACAGAAGTTACTGTGACTGTAGATGTGATAACATCAGTAGACGTTGATGTGGTAACAGTAGTTGAGGTTGTTGTGGAGGTTGTTTGCTCAGTGCTGGTGGTTGTGGTGGTTGTGCTGATTGTTTCAGTGGCAGTGGCCATCACTTGGGAGGTCCTCATATCAACAGAGGTAACAATAGCCACATCAACTGATTGAACAACAGAAGTGATTACATTAACAGATGTATTTGCTTCCACTCGGGGCTGAGCATTCTGGCTATCATTTGCAGGCTGGTTATTAGTTGTTCCTGGTGAATTATTAACTGGGGCAGCACTCTGCTTCTCAAGGCCATTGCGAGCTACAAAGTTAGCACCAGCATTGCTAGAAGTAACCATTTTATAGTTTGCATCTGTGTTAGGGGCTGTATATTGGTTCTCCATGGCAGTGCCATGAATACTCTCATAAGTAATTGACAACTCTGAAGTAAACCAGGGGACATAGTTACGAAGAAGGGTGTAGTAGTTGAGAACATTATCAGTGTCACTGCAAAGGCCACCACTAGCACTACCAACACTGTAGCTGTAGAGAGCTCCAATAGCAATGCCATTATTAGTGACACCAGCAATTGAGGTATAACCAGTAACACAGCCAGGGTTAATATTAGAGTTCACTGATGGGAAGCTGCAAACATAATCTTCCTTATTTGCACTGAAAAGTGGTGAAGCATTTGAACACTCTGGAGTATTGGTAACCAAGTGCCCAATAGCTTGGAACTGGTTTCCAACAAGAGGATTGACACTTGCTAGGGAGTGGTAGATGAGATACTTGTTACTCCAGTCAGGCTCATTATCAGCAATTCTTGCTGTAAGAGTTGTACCAGCAGAGACAATAGCATCAAAACGGACCACTGCCAGGTTGTTTTCAAAAGTATCCTTGTTGTAGTTTGGATGCATCTTAATCTGTGTGATTGCAAACAGACCAAGTGGACCATTGTTTGAGCCAAAAGCAGCAATCTGGTAGCTGGCAGGGTTGACATTGTTTGTTGCATCCCAATCCACACAATTGGCTGCCACAAGACCAGTGGTCTCTGTAAGAATAATTACCTCACAAGTACTCCTCTGCACATCGCCTTGGGGCACTAGCATCGCATAGCTAAGGTATCTAACATCCGAAGCAGTGTTATTAGCATCTGGTGCAATCTTTGTAATCTGAGCGTCCTGTCTTTTCTCCAAATAAGCCGAGACTGTTGATAGTCCAGCTATCAGCAATGCCAGCACACTTTTAAGCTTCATTGCTGCACGTAATAAAATAATACTTGAGCGTTACTCTACAATAAAAAAAGTATAATGAATTTTTTTAGTTCGTTAAAGCAGCTATAGAGGATAATGAGAGAAATGAAAATAAAAAAGCGTAGCGAAGAAGAAAATGAAAAAGAGAAAAGGAAAATACCACGGCGCAAAAAGGTTGCAAAATATATGAAGTGAGTAGGACGACACGTTTCGGCTCCAGTCATGCTACCTTTTTTAGTTTATTTCAAAGGGATTTAAAAAGCCCACACTCGTTCATTTTACTTGCTTTTGCCAAGGCAAGCAGTCGGGCATAAAATGAACAATTCTTCCATGTCGAATAACTACAAAGCAGCTATCAAGCCTTTGCTGTTTTATTTGTATAATAAAGCTTGCTCGTCTTTGAAATGTTTCATTTAAAAATTTATTTTTTCACTCATTATTTGCACTTTCATATAATTGCCGCCAGACACCTTTTTACAAAAATGAAGCTCCACGTTAATTTTTTTGCCACTCAGCTTTATACCAAGTCCGTGAGGTTTGCTTGCTGCTTTATGTGTTCATGGCAAAGAAGCTTGGGACCTTTTTAAAATCTGCGCGTTCGCTCCTTTGCGTTGCCTTCAAATGAATTAAAAAGCCGATGGTGGTCACCTTGTCAGCTCACTCTTGGCCAAGCCAAACGCACACTAAGCGTCGGTCTTTACTAAAAGAATAAGCTGTGCAATATTTTTTTGCTACATGCAACGCGTGTCGTTTACTTGTACGCCCATTGGCGTGCACATTATTTACACAGCCATTTCCCCGTGCTATTTTAAGTTTCTTCTTTTTTTCAATTAGCTTGGCCAAAACGTGAACAGAAATATTGTAGTAGGGTCGGCGTTTTATGAATCTTATCCAATTTGGTGGTTATTGGGAAACAGTTTGTTCAAAAACTCTGTGAATATGTATATTTATAATTTCAACGTTTCTATATTCTTATATCCACCAGACGCTTAATCATCTCTTGTGACCCACAGGATGTGCGGGTTTCGCGGTCCCGATGACTTCTCTGTCGTTTTACCAGACAAGCTACTATCACATACAGACCGGCTGCATTTGATTACCGCTATGGGACTTTGCGGGCGGTGTAGCCAACGCGCAACAGCTTTTGCAAGTGCTTTTGGTTTCGGGATACACGGTTGCTTTTCACGGCTTACAGATTGCACCTGAGAGCATATTTTGGCAAACACCAATCCTAGCGGGTGACTTTTTGCCACCTCTGCTGTGCATTTATCCTTGTGCCTAATATTGTAGCTTGGTTTGGTTCCGCCGCGCCAGTCATAAGGAAACATGCACTCGACCCCGACAAGAAACATGCAATTGGAGCTGTCAAGCATAATCGACGATGGATGTATCGGTCCCCTGACCATCCCCATGCGCTGCATAAGCGAGACTGTTGCAACAAGGTTGCCTGAGCGCATGTGCGAACACGGTATATCCTTGCTAATTGCTCTTTCAAGGGAGTTTCTGTAGCGCTTGACTGCTACTCCTACAATCAAACCGTTTTCTACAACACATCCGAGATACTTTCCTACAGCCGGAAAATTTAGCTGCGACAGCCTTTGCCAAGCTGCAATCTCGTTGAAATACTCGGCACGGACATTTGGTACCCAGCCGGCATACGCCAGATTGAATAGCTTGACATGAACGTATTTGTGGTCAGGTATGCCTGAGAAAATCAAGAGAGGGCCTGTTCCACCAGCGTTCTGCGTGCTAGTGAACCCAGCTAACGCTGACGGAAATATATCTTTTTTGTGGAGCCGCTGCTTTTGCCACTGCCACGCGTAATGGTTGGTTTCAGTAAGGCAGCGGTGGTACCAGTGTCCGTCAGGCTCTACCGTATTTATTCGCACTTCATAAAATACAGACCGATCAGCTTCCCGAAAATTGTAGCCGCCTGTGCTGATTCTTCTTTCCATGCAGGAGAGAACATGGCTGTGACCAAGCAGTGCTTTCAGAGAGGTCATAAAGTCTACAGAAAAGTGGGACGCATCTACACAATCCAAGTACTCCATTATTAAACAACTTTATTTCTAGGAATGATTTATATAATTAGATAAAAAAAAATATGGTATAGTGGTAAAAAAAAGAAAGATGAAAACAGGAACTAGAATGCTAGATATCGAGATATAATAATTAGATAAATATTTTATTTAATGGCAGCGCCTGAAAAGTGACATCTCGCATTTTCTTCAGCGATGCATCAAGTGCACATATTTTCCTTATTATCTGACAAGGGTGAAATATGCTGCAGACATATGCCACTTGACATTCTGCGGTTAATGTGTTTAAAATCTGTCTATTTTATGCAGTTCACGAGCACATACGCTTTTTGGTAATTGTGTTTTTTGTACGTTGTATGGCTGGAATGATTCAGCAGGCCCTCTGGTGCAGCTATCAAGTGCATACGGATATGTAGATATGCAGATTCCAATGCCACATGAAATTACAAA